GCGTCGCTACCAGAATATGCGAAGCGTTTCGAGCCGGTGCGTGCGTATATCGGAGCAGCCCCACAATTCCCACTGCCGCGAGGTCTCAGGACTGGGATTTTCCGGAAGGGTCTGTTGCGATTTGCTCATGGTGAGAAAATAAAATCAGCTAATGCAATATGCACGCTACAGAAGGTCCGCTTTTCGTACAAGCCATGTATGTGAGAGACACACAGTATTCTCGCTTGGCGCAGCGTCATGAGGAGCGGGTGATTCCTACAGGGTGATTCAAGGAGGCGCCAGGCTCTTTAAATCGACCGCGAAATTCGGTTTCTTAACCTATCACGCTACGACTTTGTGCAGCGTTGCCCACAGATGGTGCATTTTGTTTGTAAAATTTGCAAAGAGCGAACGTACCTGAGGAAAAAGTAAAGAAAGAAAAAGGCTTAGCTCCTATGGAAATGCAGCTACGCCACCGGTCTTCAAACAACACGGCGCCGTTTCACACGGGAGACAAGAGATGGCGCAACGAACGCCGCCAACGTAACGCTAACGAACGAGCATACATACGGCGCCGAGAGCCGGCGTTTTTAGCTGACGATCTTTTCGACTCAAAAGCGGCGCGCGTTCCACAGGCGGCGACAGTCGCAGAAACAAAAACAGGCGCGGTAACAACAAGGAAGTGCAGTTCCTTGTCTGCTAAAGACGGCTCTCAGCGTCGTATGCTCGCTCGTTGGCGGCAGTTGGCGTCGCGACCGCTTGCGCCATCTCTTGTCTCCCGTGCGAAATGGCACCGTGGTTTTGAAGACCGGAGGCTTCGCTGCGTTTCCATAGGAGCTAAGCCTTTTTCTTTCTTTACTTTTTCCTCACGTGAGTTCGCTCTTTGCAAATTTTACAAAAAAAAAAAGAAAAAAAAAAAGCACCATCTGTGGGCAACGCTGCACAAAGTCGTAGCGTGATAGGTTAAGAAACCGAATTCTGCGGTCGATTTAAAGAGCCTGGCGTCTCCTTGAATCACCCTGTACTTTTTCCGTTGCTTTTTTAGAGAATACTTTTTCTTCCTGGGGACTCCCTACTCCGGCTGTTAATTCGACAATTATCATTGTGTCACTTGATTACAGCAATTCCCCATTGCTTTTGTTTTGCACCCAAAAATAAACAAAACACGGAGGTAGTCGAAGCTTCCGGGAAAATTCCGTGACTGGCAACGTTCTGCTGCCCCTTTGAGGCCACTGGGATCTTTCTTTTCAGATATCCCTCCCGTACATAGTTGTAGTTCTATGTAACGTAGGATTAATTAATAATACATGTCGTAAATGCTTCACGGGGACCCCAATCCGAGGCAGTTCAGCAACAACGAAAATCATGTTTGGGTGCCTCAATGATGTCTACGTGTAAAATAGGTCGTGCAACAATTTTTGTACTTTCAGTAAATTCCGCTAAAATCTAATCCCTGACTTTGATGACTTGAAAAAAAAAAAAAAAAACCCATTAGACGCAGAAAAAAAAATAAAGGAAAGAAACAGCCCCTCCCCCTTTCCCCCCTCCACTCGCAATTTGAATGAGCGGCCACATGAACTGACCGTAATTATATACACGTCAGTGTTCATCATAGTCATACACTCGGGTTGGCAAAGCATAGAGCATGAACTGAGCCATTATGCGAATGTTTGGCGATGTGATTATCATGAACCCGAGCACTCGACTCCGGCTCATGACAAGCGAGTACGTTAGGGTGCAACATGACTCGCGGTGCCAAGTCGTGATGTCATGTGACGTCACGCTGTCAACAACGCTAACAAATCTTGTGACGTTCTAAATTTAAATCCATTTGACGCAGTGAGTCACATGACGTCGCTGGGCCACGTGACGTGACATTACTTGACAGCGTGTCATGACACTAGGGTGCCACCATCCGGAGACGCGTTTCACTCATTATACCACTTGACACCATGTACGTCAAGTGACCACGTGACACATGATTAATCATACTGCCAAAACAAAAGCGCTACGAGAACCCACATTTGATCAATATATATAAATGCAGCTGCCAATTTTTTTATTGTCAAATATTTATTTTGTGATACTAACAAAAAAGAAAAAAATACCGTGAACCGTTTTAAAACCGGTCATCGTTATATATATATATATATATATATATATATATATATATATATATATATATATATATATATATATATATATATATATATATATATATATATATATCTTTTTTTTTTTGTTCAAGTCCTGTTCAGTGTCAAGATGGCGGCGAAGATGTCGGTTCGGTTCGGTTCCGATTCGGCTAAAAATAACGGCTCGGCTCGGTTTTTGTTCGACACCCTGCTTCTAATGCTAACAAACTAGTTCTGTGGAAGGGTAGTACCAAATGTAATTCAATCGCATTTCCCAAAATCCAATCAGAAGGCGCGTCATCAACGTGCCACAAATCATTCGCGATAGGACAAAGTGGAGTCGCTAACAAATTACAGGTGTGTCGCCCACGCATCCGGGGAGAGCTGAACAGAACAAACTTCACGGAGGATCTTAAAAATAAAATATACTCGGGCAGTTTTGTTTTCTTCTTCTATTTTTCTTGTTTTATTTCGTGTTTCCCATCGTAGTCTTACCACTCGCCTTATGCGCACGCTCACACCTAACCATAAATTTGCTTGCGCTCCGAGATGTCATCATAAACCTATTTTAAGAATCGTCCCATCTCTATACGACTCATCAGCAGTGACAACTTCGCTCCATAGATAAAATATTTGTACTTATTTCTTTCTTTTTTCAATCTTTCACGTCTGGGAAAGTATCTCGGGCACAAGCGCCTCCGGTGACAGAACATCGGCTGCCCAGCGATCGAACCCGAGTTCAGAGAACAGGGAGACCAACTCGTGCCTAGTGGGAACTTGCGTAATCGCGCCTAATTGGACGGTTCAAGAACGGCATCGGCCTAATGAAGCAACGGACGCGTCTTTAGTGAAAGATGTAATCGAATAGAACTTCAAGAACGCACCTGGAGCTCGCATCGGGCCGCAGGGAGATGTATATAGTTCAATGAGGAGAGCTATCTTCGCGCCGTGCAATTTTATGCGAGTGAATATACCTATAAGGACAGGTTGCCACATAAATAACGCGGTCCTGGCGTGCGAAGAAAACTCATAACTAGTCCGAATTCCTGAGGCGGTAGTGATCAGAAGAAGCCCTAACGGTAGCAGACGACGCGTGCCAGCAGAGAGCAGACGGACCTAAACCGTAGCAGACGACGCGATGTGGGGTGCTGCAGAGATGTCTGGTAGCTCTGATCGCCCTTATCCTGGCAGCCGGACAAGAAGGAAGGATCCGACTCCCCAAAGCCTGCGTCATAGGTGAAGTGAAAGAAGTGATTTATATATATACACATTTGTGATGGCGAGGGACGTCGTGACCTCTCAGCAACCGTGTCCAACTGCAAAAACGTTACCTTCTTCAGGCCAGTTCATAGTCGAGCTCAGCATTCACTAGTAGTCGTATCTAGACAAAGAAGGTCGACCTGTAATAACCCTGAGCAGGGGGAGCGGAGAGGGGGTCAGCGTATCATATGATTAATAACCCCTCCTCCACCCCGTTTTCTTGCCCTGTAATTGCTACGTGACCTTTGAAGCCAATCATTAAAAAGTTAATTAACGGATTTCAGTTAATAGTCAACCCGATTATCCCATCTAATGTCCGCGGAGTCTTTAAAAAAAGAATATGTTCAAATTAAAACAAAACATTCACAAAGTAAAAAAAGAAAAAGAAAACCGGCAGAAACCAGAGAGGAACTATAATTCCGCTGTTTGCGATTTGTTTGACTTAGCGCTTTATGTTTGTTATGAAATTACATACCTCAGAATAGTAAACAACCCTAAGTACATAAAAAAAAAAAAAAGATTCATTTAATGTGTTTTTTCATCCGCAGTGGAAACAACGGCCGACACCTGTGGCAAGTACCACTTCGGAAAATATAAGGTTTGTTCATTAGGGGTCCTTATTGTTCACGTGTATACAGCGCCACATTCTTAGTGCAAAAACAACATAAACAAGAAAAAAACTTGGGCAACGTTAGTATTCTACCTTTTAAGAGAGAAATTAGAGATTTAGTTACATGGCGGAAGAACTGAGCTGTAAGCTACAAACGAAGCTATACTAGCGGACAACTTTCTGTGGCATTTCAGAAGTGAAGAGTGCTGGTGCCTAGATTTGATTGGCGCTCAAGATGCGCCAGCTCTGGCAGACTGTGTCGAATTGTGAATTCCACTGGTAGATTCGAAGCGCTTTCCAAAATCCGCGAGGGAGGCAAAAATCCGCTCCGGGCGCGGAACTTGCTCCCAGTCGGAGAGCGGAAGATAGATGGACTCAGATTTGTGGAGCGACCCGCCGGAGACGGTCTGTCGTTCAAGATGGCCGCTGCTCAAGCCGACCACGCCTCAGCCTATCTGAGCTTTCCGACGACCAGTCAGTCACTGTTCAGAGCGACACAGTCCGGGCGCATTACCAGTTCCGTGGAGTCCATGTCACGAATAGCGAGGAAAACGCTCGCGTTCGCCACCGTCCCAAACTGCCATACCATTCGGTCGCCTCGGAGCAAGTACTTACAACCTCCTTGCCTCGGAGTGACGGCCGGGGGCACGGACAGGGACCGCCGTCGGTGGAGCTGGTTGCTGGTCAGACTTTATTAAACACACAGAGGTAGCAAACCATAACTTGCACGGTAGTTGAATACACTGTTCTTGCCTTAATGCAAAAAAAAAAAAAAAAAAAAAAAAAAAAAACGACAGCATGCATGGTACAAAAGTAAACAATCAGATGCGAAAAAATAAACACGCCTAAGCTCGCGTCTGCTTCTTTCGGATTTTCTGACGTTCTTTTTCACGTTCTTCCTCTCGGGATTGCCGATGTCAGTGCTTACGATTTGTCAGTGCTTACGATTTGCCACGCTCCACGCTGCTGCCGACTTCCGGGGAGATTCCCTGAAGCTGACGGAGCGGTGGCGGTGCACGGTAGAAAGCGCTCCACGGAGCTTGCGCCGCCACAAATCTGTGAGCGGAGGATGGCCAACTTGAGCCGCATCTGCCAGCGGAAGGTTTGGCGCGCTCCAAATCTGCGAGCGCGGAATTCACCATAAGACGCGTACGTATACAAGAGGATGCTTAGATGCAATAGGCCTTTCGCAAAACATGTAGCGCCTTCCACCGGCACAGAAAGTATGCTGGGAAATGGCTGTATATACCAAAGGCAGCAGACGATTTAGCTGCTCCCTCCCCCTTTCCCTCTCTCCTATGTCACGTGGTAGATGTTGCGTTGTAGATGGGATATTTGCAAGTGGTTCATTTGAGGCGAAAACAGTCTTTCTTTTCTTTCAGTTAAACACGAACGAGACGCGGCGCCTGTCCAAGGAATGCTTCGGGAACAGGGTGGCAGTCTTCGACTTCATGGTGGCCTGTGCGGAGCCCATGGCGGTGAGTAAAGCGGTGGCGCCATCTATAAAGATGGCCGCCACGAGGGAAGATGCGTACTACCTGTAGGGCTGTGCTGCCCGCATCGTCCACACAGAGAGGCTCAGCTTGGAACGCTAAGCACTCAACAGCAGATTTGAAGGCAGGCAGTCGCAGCAACACCCCCTATTCTAGATCCCAGGCAAACATTTTGCTACGCAATTCGTATAGCCGAATGTTCCTTCCAAGGGCATGGCCTAATAAGGGTCGCCCTCAGAAACAAATGCATGCTTCCAACTTTTGACGTTTTAACTTCATCGAACATGTTGTAATATGTGGCGCCATCTTCCGATAAGCGCAGCGAGCAGATGACACGCTCATTCGTCTGCATGCAACGCCTTTGTGAGATGGGGCCACAATTTATAACGATCACTAACTCGGTCGTCTGCGGACATGCCCGCCGTTGACCCCGACAAGTTTGTTGGTCCAATTTTTCGAAGGAACAGAGCTACGCCTTACGATTTCCCCAGGTGCAATGTACCGCCTAAATGCACGTTCGGGGGGAGTTTGAGCATTCTGTGCGCAGGCGCGGATTCGCCCGACTTGTTTTTGCAGTGCAAAGATCCATTCAAAACACACTATGTTTTTTTCAAACTTTCAGCTGGGGAAGTTCATCACCTGCACCATAGAGGCGGTCTTCAAGTCTGCGGTAAGATTTTACGGTCCTGATGTCCTCTCCACCGACCCTCACTATACACCGTCTTACAGTGGTGGAACTGCTGAGTCAGAACGAACAACCTGCTACATGCTGTTGCACAGGCTGTGTTTGCGCACAATTTTCGCCAAGTCTGCCTCAAAAAAGAACTGTTGCCTGTTGTCGAAAAGAAAGTAAAAGCGTCTGGCACGTAGCAGTGTTGGCGATGCCATCGAAAATGTGTTTATTTACTTCAGCATATTGCCAATCCCTGTATTAAAAAAAAAAAAAGAAAAGTTGTTTTTAGATGCCTAAGTACTATGGGCAAAGAGTAAAGTTTCGCGAATATAATTTCGAATAGTATTTTCACATATTAAGCTATTTTATGGCCTCTTTAACATGAACTGCGACATTCCTACTTATCGAAATGTTGATCGCGATGAGTTGGTCCCCTTGAGTGCGCTTCTCCTCACGCAACGGCGCACTGCGGAGAAGCAATGCTCGCGGAGCCGACACCGCGATCTCGCGACTCGCTTCGCCGCAGCAGGGCGGGAGTTGCGCACTCAGTCGAAAAACACCCCTTCAAAGTGGTCTGATGCACGCACGTGTTTAGTGTATTAAAAAGGAAGAAAAAGAGAGAGGAAATGTTGTGATCGTTGATATTTAGTTTACATTGCAGTAAACCACCTGTGTTCATAATCTTTTTTTTTTATAAGTTCAGGATCGAGGAAAATGTTTGCATGTAGCAAGATTTATAAATCCCCTGAATTAGGTATGGCTGGGCTCCTTCATAGGTTTAGTTTAATGTCAAATCTGTCGTTTACCTGCCCTCCCAATGTAGGGATTGGACTTTCTGAGGCCACAGTCTATAAATATAGCTAGATTAAATTTTTACAGAGCGGCTAACTGGGCAGATAGAAGCTTGGGAGCAACCTTCGCGAGTTCAGCTGCATTTCCGTTTAACCACGGTGTAAAGGCCGGTTCTAAGTTTAGTTCTAACATGCAGCGAAGCGCCGATGTAGCGCTGCTCACCTGTCGTCAGCTACTTATCGTCTGCCATGACCAACAGTTTTGACGATGCGACACAAAGCTGGTGAACGCTCCCGCCAGCACGCGCTTAGCGCGAGGTCAGCGCCATGCTTGTAGCGCTCCGCTGCACGTGTGAGCAGGCCTCAACAGTAGTGAAATGCGTGGAGAAAGGCGCAACAAGTATTCAATATTGGATTAAAAAAATATTCGGCCAAAACCACTATTCACTTTGAATTTTGCTTCGAAATCAACATCCATTATATGCACATGCCTAACGAAGAGTTGTCGGTTTTTGTGCGAACGGTGCTCACATCGAACGCAATGAGCGCTATTCATTATGATTGGTGACAGTAGCTACGTGTTCCGCTTAGCTGCTCGATGAACAATAGCGGGTGGAACACGAGCGAAGGCAGCGTGATACAAAGTCTACGAAGTAGCCAAAAACATATTTGTACGTCAAACACGGACCGAAAACACCATCCGTGATCCTAATAGGGTAACTGAGACATCTGCAAAATTACCGCCGTATGACTGTTCAACAAATAAATATCCGTAGCGGCCAGGCCCCCTGTATGTATGGGACGTTAAACAGACTCCCAACACTCCAACAAGGGCAGTTTTGTTTCCTCCATAAGGCTAATTTTTCGTATAAAATTTTTGTGACACGAAGGCTCAAAATTGTCTGCTCCAAAAGTGGGAATCTCTGCTCCTAAAACCGTTTTTTTCCTCGTACAAGAGCTGCTCCAAATTAACACTTGTCAGTTCCACCGCTGCGTTTTAGCATAGCGTTACCCAAACCGCCATCTTGAAGCCTAGTAATAAATGCACCGCGAGAAAAACAAAATAAGAAAGAAAACTTTTAGCAGAACGCTAATTACAACGTACTGTAAAAAAAAAGAAAGAAAAGAAATATGTTGTAACACGACTTTTGTTTGGGCAAGTTGGTTCTTACTAGACATGATTAAAATAACGCAAACTTGATAAGGCCAACAAAGAAGGCACACGTACAACAGTTGTACGTGTGCCTTCTTTGTTGTCCTTGTCAAGTTTGCGCCATTTTAATCGTGTCTAGAAAGAAAGGAAGATTGCGGTATTATTTTGTTTCTAAATACTGACAAAGTCGCCAGTGACGTACTGCCACACATTTTTGGGTTGGTAAATCCCGATGCAATCGTTTATGTAGCCAGACTGGCAGCGCGACTCCCGACGACTCGGATCGCCATTGTGACCATGCCGCGAAGGATGCATTTGCTACCAAGCTGGCAGCTCTTCTTCTCCTGGCATTGTGCAGTAGCTTAGCAGAAACGGTCCACCGGCGGGTCTTCCGATGTTTTCTGGGCGAAACCTCTCCAGTAGATCGCACACGTTGCAACGCCCGGGCACCCGTTTATTTGCAGAAACCGAGGGACAAGAAACGGTTTAACCGCGACGCAGCCGCCTACAAAGTAAGTGCTGCCGTTCATGTGGTTTCGGCAAGAGCCGCTTTAAATAAACTACGCTTCAGCCATCTTGGTGTTGCCAGTTGCCAGTTATCTGAAATCGCAGTAAACGGAATTGCGTCCTCTATAAATGTTAAAAGGGGACAGGACACGCCAAAAATAAGAGATAACCAAACTGCTAGGACCCACTGCATATTCCTACAACCCTGCTAAATTAGTTCCGAAAATGGCGCGATAGTTTCGTAGATAATTCGATTTATATGCGGGACCCTCGGATCCGCCCCATTCGAAAAGGCCGCCATAACTGGAGGGCTGGTGACGTCACCACCAGCCAAGCGCGCGGCATCCCCTTGCACGCGTTCACAGACTTGGCTCTCTCGACGTCTCGTGCTTGAGCTTCCTCGGCACGCGAACGCAGTTTCACAAAATGTTTAATGTCTATCTCTTTTTTTTTTTTTTTGAGAGAGAGAGAGCTTAATTGAGAGGTGGTGAAATATTTAAAAAATAGTGCAAAAACGGCGTCCTCAGTAGCAGCTAGCACCCAGCTCTCCTTCTCAGTGGCCCTCATATATCAACGGTTACGCGTCGTCTGGCACGGGACTGTCTTTCTGCGGGTGTAGTCAGTTCGGTCACGCGACAAGAGCGGTGACGATAGTCTACTTCACCTTACGATGAACCGCAACAGACAGCACGAGAGCCATCGAAACCAATCCAGTGCCTTCCGAGTGTCCCGCACGGGTGTCGCGTGACCCTGGGGCGCACCAACGCGTCGTGCGTGTAGTCCCGCTCTCACGGTGCTGGATTGCCTGAGGTCACTCGTAGCGCCCGCAGCGGTCCATCGCAAGGTGAAACAGTACGCAGAGACTAAAGTCTAAGGAAATAAGCGGGAATCCGCTAGCTTCGTTTTAATCCTAACCCACTTGAATGTAAAACATATAACACTGAAAACAAGCATCGGAAGAAAGACTAAGTAAAAGGCAGACTTACAAATAAGAATGCAATAAAAAAAAAAAAAAAAAAAAAAAAAAAAAAAAACAAGCGTCGGAGCAAAGCGCAAGAGGAGAGAGAAGTGAATCTCGGAAACCCACATTTCGGACTCGGAGTGCGCACGAATGAACGTCGAAGGCAGCAAGGTTGGCCGCCTGCTAAACAACGCTCCTCGAACTATAAGAAAACAATAACTGATCATCTTTCGGCGGCGCGCGAGCCAACGAGTTATCAGAGCTCTGCGAGTTACGAGTCGTACGGGCGCACAGACATCTCAGCCTGCGCGCCCGTGCATTCTCCATGCCAACGCAAAAAAAAAAAAAAAAGAAGAAAAAACAGCAAGAGTAGAAGGGCGTTGAGGAACCGTGCATGGCGGTTTCTCTCTTTGCCGCTCCCTTCGTTTCTTTTGCTTGGTGCTTGGTTTCGCTCTCGTGTAACGCCAGTGAAGGTGGTGTTGGCGAAGCCAGAGCCTTCTCGTGCGCGTTCGTAAAAGGCGCCACCATCGCCGCCCCCCCCCCCCCCCTCCCCCCCCCCCCCTCTTTCTGCTCTCTGCTTCGACGCTTGTTTTTTGCATTGCATTTTTTGCGCAAGTCTGTTAGGTCTGCACGCGGAGTACCACTTTCCCGCTCATTTTATTTCTGAGCAACTGACTCGCTGACTGGCTCAGTTTAGCTAACCGTCCCCCCCCCTCCCCCCGCCCCAAAAAAAAAGAAAAAAAGAGCCGGGACCCATCCTATTTCGGGCAAAAGGCGCATAATTCCATTCTCATTTCATTCCCCTCAACGCTGCCGCCATTCCATTTCCATTCCATTCAAGGGTCGCGAAAATGCGGAATGATTCCGGAATCATTCCAACTCCGGAGTGGTAACTCCGCAACTCTGCTAGGGAGGCTCAAGTGAGGGTGGGTGCAACTGCTAGATCGGGGATCACGGGATATGGACGCCATTTAATTGCCAAGTTTTGCTGGGAGTCTATGGGGCAAAGGGTCGTTTTATTTCCTAACTCAGGTCATAAGGGCCCATTAATGTGGTTGAATAATTTACGCAACGTATAAATGATTAATTTCCATAGCCACAAGTTTTGTTCCGATAGGTTAAGTATTTGTTTAAAGGCCAACTCCGGTCCATACTTTTGATTTTGGGATTATGACCCTTTTTAGTGCAGTCAGCGTCCCTAAATTGCAAGGTATAATTTTTTTTTCTCGTTATTGTGCGTAGTTTTAAAGATATCGACGCCTCAAAGTTTTGTTTGAGGAGCGGCCAACAAACCCGAAACTAGCCGCTCGAGGCCCCGGCAACACTGGAAATCAGCCGCTATGTGAACATGACGTCAGGATCGTTCTCGTTCAACGAGTACGCAGGCCGAGCGGCACCTACTTCTGTTGCGCTAGCCGTCTAAAGATAGGAGGTAAGCTGATTTTGTTTTAATTCTGTATACGTGGTAGTTATCCAGCATATGTAGCAGGAGTTAGTGCGTATACCCAAAAGCTAGCGACTGGAAAACGAGTGAACTCGTTCGGTGCTGTATTCGGCGGCTGTCGCCGTGCGTGCGGTCTTCCCT